GGCAACTCCCCGAGGTATGGAAGATGGCAAATGTAGTCCCAATTTTTAAAAAGGGAGACAGACATGAGGCACTAAACTACAGACCTGTATCACTAACGTGTATAGTTTGCAAGGTCATGGAGAAGTCATAGGGGGATGTGATGGAGCACCTGGAAAGAAACAAGTGTATGATTGACAACCACAGGTTTCAGGGGGGGAAAATCCTGTGTCCCCAAACCTACTAGAGTTTTTTTGACAAGGTGACAGAAGTAAGACAGGGAAAGAGGGATGGATCGACTGCATTTTTTTTGGACTGCAAGGGAAAGGGCCTTTGACACAGTTCCTCACAAGAGGTTCTGCAAAAGCTAGAGGATCAGGCACACATAACAGGGAAAAGGGACTGCAATGGATCAGAGAATACCTGACAGGGAGGTAACAACGAGTCATGGAACGTGACGAGGTGTCAGAGGGGCGCCTGTGGGCAAGCGGGTTCCACAGGGGTCAGTCCTAGGACCTGTGCTGTTCTTGGTATATGTGAATGACATAAAGGAAGGGGTAGACTCAGAAGTGTCCTTGTTTGCGGATGATGTGAAGTTAATGAGAAGAATCAAATCGGATGAGGAAACAGGCAGGACTACAAAGAGACCTGACAGGCTACAAACCTGGTCCAGCAACTGGCTCCTTTAGTTTAACCCTGCCCAAAAGCAAAGTCATGGAGATTGGGGGAAAGGGGAAAGAAGACCGCAGACACAATATAGTTTATATGGCCAAAGTCTGCAAACCCCCACTCAAGGAAAAAGATCTGGGTGGAGTTTTAACACCGAGCAAATCTCCTGAGGCGCACATCAATCAGATAACTGCTGCAGCATACGGGTTTCCTGGCAAACCTACGGATAGCGTTCCGATACCTCAGTAAGGATCGTTCAAGACTCTGTATACCATTAACGTCAGGGTCATACTGGGGTATGCAGCACCAGTTTGGAATCCACACTAGTCAAGCACATCAAGAAATTAGAGAAAGTGCAAAGGTTTTCAACAAGACTAGTCCCAGAGCTACGGGGATTTTCCTACGAAGAAAGGTTGAGAGAAATCGGCCTGACAACACTGGAGGGCCCGGAGGGTCAGGGGGGAAAATGATAACGACATATAAAATACTGCGCGGAATAGAGAGGTGGACAAAGACGGGATGTTCCAGGAGATGGGACACAGACACAAGAGGTTTACAATTGGAAGTTGAAGACTCAGATGAATCAAAGGGATGTAGGATGTATTTCTTCAGTCATAGAGTAGTCAAGCCGTGAATTAGCCCAGAAAGTGAAGTATGGAGGCGGAACCATACATAGTTTTAAGGCGAGGTATGATAAAGCTCATGGAGCAGGAGAGAGAGGACCTAGTAGCAATCAGTGAAGAGGCAGGGCCGGAGCTATGACTCGACCCCGCAACCACAAATAGGTGAGTACAAATACGCGAAGTACACACACACACACCCCACACAAACCCCCCATGTGCGTGCACACATACCGCAGATGCGCGGCAGCGGCGCGCACACCCCACCACACACACACACACACACAACACCCCACACACACAACACCACACACACACCACACACACACCACATGCACACACCCCACACGCACACACCCACACGCGCGCACACCCCACACGTGCACACCCCACAACCCCACATGCACACACACTCAACACACACACTCTTGATACCTCAAAGGAATTGAGAAGGTTAACCAAGAAAGGGTATTCCAGAGATGGGACACAGAAACAAGGGGTCACAATTGGAAGTTAGACTTGTATGAGTCAGAGGGATGTTAGGAATGATTTCTTCAGTCATAGAGTTGTCAGGAAGTGAAGTAGCCTAGAAAGTGAAGCAGGGAGAGAGAGAGAGAGAGAGAGAGAGAGAGAGAGAGAGAAGAGAGGGGGGGGGTTCAGGAGCTATGACTCGACTCCTGCAAACACACACAGGTGAATACACCCACTCTCACACTTGTCATCATTAATTATATAACATGTCTTACCTGGGTGTGTGTTTGGGTTCATCCTGTATGACAGAAAGTAGTAAGAGGTGAAAAAGTTTTGCTGTTTGCTGTACAAGAATGTGTGGACACGAGTAGCAGTGCCACATGTCCTGACACTGACTGTTGTAAGTTTTAAACTTAGTTTTGTCTGAAGATTTTATAGTAATTCTTTTTGAAGTGAGAGGAAGGCTAAGCATTGCAAGCTTTCTTGATTAATATCAAAGCAGAGAACTTGACATAGGGTTACATTAACACTGTGATGGGGGGTTTGTGTTCAGGGATTGGGGGTAGGAGTGCTACTGTCCTCACAGGGTGCTTGTTAGACTAAGGATCCAGCATCTCTCTCAGCATAAGTGGTTGGGACGTTACCTTTTGTCTAAATTTGGTCACAGTTCATTGATAACAGAGCATTTCAAAATTTTGCCAATTGTATTGATACCATCAAAATTAGCTGATACCACCTGATAGTATGAAAATGAGCCAATAACCACTGATATCGATAGTTTGGCACACTCCTAGTTTTGGTTATGATTTATATAACCTGAGAGTGAATTGGCCTGGCAAGTAGAAAATTGTTGTGTAAACTTGTACATTTTATTAGAAATGGAATGTGTTTAAAGTGCTTAATAGCCAAAAGGTTCTAGTGCTTTGTAAATACTATAGAATAATTAAAACTGAATCTGTTCTCAACTGGTGCAGTAGTTGCCAGAACCATTACTTTGAATTTGCAGATTCTAGCTACTTTGCTGTAAGCTGTTTCGAAGTCATTCATCTTTATGAAATTCACCCTCCAAAGGAGGGTTCTTGATCCAAGGAATTTGACTTGACCTTCCCTTGGATTGAATTTGATTGCTTCCCATTCCCTTATGTTCGGCGTGGCTCCTGTGTATTTAGCGATTCTCATTAGAACAATTTATGAAACTCAATATTTGTTGTAGTTTTATCTCTGAATTCTTTTTATAGGTGAATAAATTTCAGTGACAAGAAATTGTTATTATACTTCAGTGATCTAAGAAATTCTTTTCAAATGTTGGAGATGTGCAAGTACTGTAAAAATGGTTATAAATCATAACCATAATTTTTAAAGGGGTGGACCTGTAACCCAGCGGAAGGTCTTCCTCAGATGACCAAAAGCTATAGCGGCAGGTCATCATCTGACCGAGACCCGGATCAGGAAGCACTTCTCCTGTTTCCTGACAAACCTTAACAAACCAAACCAGATGTTGAAGAGTTCAAAAGCACTAAATATTAATGAATCAAAATTTTGTTGCTAACATGTGTAAGTTTCATGCCATATTTGTGAGGTTCTGGTGGCAATGATCAGTTGGGGTAGTTGTAGAGAAGGGACAACCGGAAGTGTGCTCTGCTTTCCTTGTACAAATATCTAGCAGCAGGATTTCATATCATTGGTGACACCAGATGCTGTACTATTGAGTGGGAATTCTAACATCAAAATGCTTTACACAGCATGTTAAGTTAATCAGAATCCAGTTTACATAGATTAAAGGAAAAAATTTGTTAATATAAACTAATTTAAATCTTACATTTGATAGTATATAATTTTACAACACAGGGCAGATGATACTGCAAATTCAGTTTTATGTATTCCAAGGACAGGTTTTAGTGGTAAATGTTCCTACCTTAACAATTTTAGATAAATCCACTGAAACATAAATATCAAAAATGCAAAATATTACATGAAATGAAGTATGACTAAACAAAGAGATATATTAATTTTGAAGTTATTATTTTAACAGGGTAAGCAATAATTGCCTTGTCTTACAAATAATTGCTTCTGTATATGCTTAATACTCTTTTCTCATTTTAAAACTATTAAATTTAATAGCATAATTGGAAAATATTGGTGGTATCCATTCTCTGGAACACTGTTGGTTAGGGGTGGAACTACGTCAGCCAATTATGAAAAGCGTAGCTTAAAACTAAGCTATTAATAAATCTTTGTATGTCATTACCCATTCGTACCTAGGACCTGTGTAGTTTCTCAGAACATTTTAATTGCATTGCTGATAGAGAATAATATAAGGTTTTTAATCTGCTGTTACACTAGATGTTGGGTTTTACAGAGGGTTTGTGTAAATTCATTAACAAATGTAGGGTTTCAAAAACAAAGCAGTAATGCCGTACATCTATTTTAATCCTGCAGCATTTAATTGGTTACCTAGGCAACACTTTTTATTTTAATGTACATCGTAATTCTGTATATGGTAATATTTTAATTCACAATTAGAACTGTTATTATTGCACCTTGATTTCCTATACATTGCCAGATATTTCCAAAATTTGATTGTTACTGGCACCTGTGTTAGATGTTTGAATGAACTGATATCCCCTACATGTCCCACAAGCCTCCTAGGATAAATTATCAACCTGTACATCAGGTATATCCTAGGTTGGGTCATAATTTCAAACATCTACATAAAATTTTCACTGTGCTGGGTCATCATTACATCTGAGTCTTAAGTGTGCTAGTCAGTGTCGTTATTATAAACACCTTGTGTCAGTCTACCAGGAAGTCACGATCAACATGTTTCAGATAGCTACTGGTCTGTTTCTGAAACTAGTGTACTAGACTAAATATGCATTACCAACACCTGTGTCACTTTGCTGTTGGTCATTGTTGAATTAACATTCAGCATCTTGGGAAAATCTGTCTTATTTTTGTTCATTAACCTTATTCTCTACTGCTGAATGTAAAAATCAGGTTTGTTTCTAATAATGAACCACTATTTCAGATGATCTAGGGTAATTATGATAAATAAGGCAACATGTATGATATGATTTTTGTCTTACTTTCTTCAGTTACTGTGTCCTCTTTGTTAGGCATAATTAAATTTCTTCTTAATCACAGTTTGTTTATAGATGATTTAAGTTTGTAGATTCAAAAATTTTCAGACCTCACATTCTTTCGAAAAACCAACATCCCCATACCCATCCATCACACTAACTGGTCTCCCTTCCTGGGTATAGATCAAATATTTCACGGCCCGGCGTAAGTTTAAGGAAGCACTGAAGCCGTACGACGTAAAGGATGTGATTGAGCAGTATTCAGCGGGGCACGTCGATCTTCTGTCCCGTGTCAAGACTCTGCAGGGGAGGTACTTGAACTGACCCACAACAGCCACCCACTGATTCTCATTTCTTGTCACTCCTTAATACTATATGTTCACACACTACTTTAAGCATAAAAAAAAGCTAGTAGCTTTTCTTTACCAGTATGTTATAATATTTTGTAGTCTACAAAAAACTGGTGTAGTGAAAATTATGGCAGCACTAAACCCCCTGAACAGAAAACAAATTGTGTGTAAGTACAGTAAATCCATAATTAAATATGTTCTTATCAGTACTGTGTACTCTTCAGTACTGGATATTTATATACAGTACCTATATTTGCTTCAGCAAATATGCTTTTCCACAGTCTTTAATTCTTTATACATTTTCAGACATTCTTCAATTTTATATTCTTGCTCTTAATTTGCTTACATTTTTTCTAAATTCATTTTCTCAGTATTCTGTTTTCATTGATTTTAAAATAATTTGTTTTACTGCTTTCAGTAGACAATTTTTTATTTTACCAATTGTCGTGCAGTTTATTAACAGACCCTTAAATCCTTTTTGAAGGTGTGCCACTATGAATAATTTACCTTCTGGTAGCAGAAACACTAATCTAGCATTTCATTACTACCTACTGCATTACTTTTAAATTATTAGTGTTTAATTACAGTAAAAATATTTCACACCATGAAAACTAAAGCTAGTTCAGTTTGATTGTGGTTTGACACTGCACAAGTTATGGTACTTAAAGGAGTTTGTTTTTTGTCTGTGCATTTGTTTAATGTGTGCTGCTGAAGTTAATTCTTTAACATATAATTGCAGGGTGTTTTTGTGGTAAGGGAATTACTCTAATGGAACTTTTTATACACTGTGTGTATTTTGAATTGGTCATTTGGTCCTGTCCTAGGGGCAACAATTAATTACTGTATTTAAATTTGTATTCCAGAAGGATATGTTTGGTAAGAGTCATGCTTAATATTTTTTTGAGCTTCCATCAGTATTCTTACCACAAAAATGACTCCTCTTTCATGTACTGAAGTATTTCTTTAGCATGTGATAAGTCTACTTATAAACATGGAGTAAGTCATCAGATAGCATCTTTGGCATTACTAAAGCATGTTGGCATCTTTTGAGCTTTAGAAGAGCCAGCTTGTATACAGTACCTAAAATATTCTTAAGCTTCAGAGAAAGGCCTGCTTCAAGATTCCTTCAGTCTTAATCTCTGCATATCTCCTTAAAATCGTACAGTGTAACTGTTCTCTCTACAATTGTTTTCAGAATTATACTAAATTTATGTGCACACAGATGGCATTGTGATAGTATTGTATGCTACAAATAAGGTATAAAATACCAAGAAATGTATAAAAGAAACACATAAGCAACATGTAATTTCCTTATCCACAATAAAATGATCTAACTTTGCAAAAGTGCCTCTTTTATGCAATAGTATTGTATGTTGACTTTAAAGTCAACTCAGTAGTAGTAGCAGCAGCCAAATGTAGCAGTGCATTGGTAGCTTCATGTTGGTACAGTTCTTCTCTAGTAACAGCCAGAGGAAATTATAGTTCTTACTCTACTGCTGGTGGTGGTACTTGCAGCAGAGTTTGAGTAAGTTAGCTTATAAATAGAGGATATCTTGTTCTATGGTTTAGACATTGTTAAACATAATGTAGTTTAGAGGTGGAAGACAATTTGACTTGACCTGACTGATTCACGACTGCACAATATGTGAGACTGTGTGTTCTCAAAGGAAATTTGGTGTTAAACTATTTATTGAGTTACCTTAGTAGTATTTATATTTAAATATAATGAATTATTAGTTTTATTATTACTATAGTAATCTTCATTTGCTCTTTGAAGTGTACAGTGAAGAACTTTTCTCATTTATTTTCTTTGGTCTTGTATATATTAGAGCCTAGTTTATTTGTCCGCTTTACCAGAGACATTATAATTTTTGTCGGTTATTATTAACCAACCCCCAAACCAGACAATGTACTTTATATACACCACCACCCATATTTTTGTAGTTATCCTATACCAGGCAATACTTTTAATGATTATTTCTTCCACTTTTATTGCTCATTGTCATACAGTAATTGGACTGATCTCAAACTTTTTACTATTTACAAGGCAGGTGACAGGTCCTTAGCTTCTAACTATAGACCAATAAGCCTTGCCTCCATAGTGGGAAAATTTATGGAATCAATAATTGCCGAGGCAATTCGTAGCTATCTTGAAAGGCATAAATTAATTAATGAATCACAACGCAGTCTTACAAAGGGGCGTTCCTGTCTTACAAATTTACTAACTTTTGTCACTAAGGTATTTGAGGAGGTAGATCATGGTATTGAATATATTGTACGTATGGATTCAGTAAGGCTTTCGATAGCGTTCCACATCAAAGGCTGTTGAGGAAACTTGAGGCACATGGAATGGAAGGAGAAATTTTTTCCTGGGTGGAGGCATGGTTGACAAATAGACAGCAGAGAGTTTGCATAAATGGGGAGAAATCAGAATGGGGGCAAGTCACAAGCGGTGTTCCACAGCAGTCAGTGTTGGGCCCCTTGTTGTTCACAATTTACATAAACGACATCGATAAGGGAATAAATAGTGACATAAGCAAATTTGCTGATGACACCAAAATAGGCCGTCCAATTCAATCTAATGAGGACATTAGAGCACTCCAGGATGATATGAATAGACTGATGCAATTGTCAGAGAAGTGGCAGATGCAGTTTAATATAGACAAATGCAGAGTTCTAAATGTTGGATAATAACCATGCCACATATAAAGTAAATAATGTAGATCTTAATATTACTGGTTGCGAAAAAGGATTTAGGAGTTCTGGTTAGCAGTAACCTGACGCCAAGACAACGGTGTACGTATAAGCGTTTGCAATAAAGCTTCATATCAAGAAGCATTAATAATAGAAGTCCTCAGGTGGTTCTTCAACTCTATATATCCTTGGTTAGGCCTGATTTAGATTATGCTTCACAGTTCTGGTCACTGTATTACAGAATGGATATAAATGCAGTGGAAAACATAGAGGAGGATGACAAAGTTGATCCCATGTAACAGAAATCTTCCCTCTGAGGATAGGCTGAGGGCCCTGAATCTGCACTCTAGAAAGGGATAGAATTAGGGGGGGATATGATTGAGTGTATAAATGGAAAACAGAATGAATAAAGGGGATGTAAATAGCAAGCTAAAAATAACTAGCTTATACAGGACTCTCAGCAGTGGTTTTCTGTATAGTCCTTGTGGCTTAGTGCTTCTTTTTGATTATAATAATCAGCAATGGTTTTAAGCTGAAAAAATTCAGATTCAGGAAGGATATAGGAAAGCGCTGTTTTGGTAATAGTTGTGGATGAGTGGAACAAAATCCCGAGTACCTTTATAGAAGCTAAGATGTTGTGTAGTTTTAAAAATAGGTTAGATAAATATATGAATGGGTGTGGGTGGGTGCGAGTTGGATCTGATTAGCTTGTGCTACTAGGTCAGATGCCGTGCTCCTTCCTTCAGTGGAGGTGGTCTGACTGGGTGGGCCATTGGTCCAAGCCGGGGATTGACATGGACCTGCCCCGCATGGGCCAGTAGGCCTGCTGCAGTGTTCCTTCTTTCTTATGCTCTTAAACTTGTCATGCTTGTGTATTAGTAAAAGGAAAGTTGGTGTCATTGGGCAGTAGGACTCTCAATTTTATATGATAAAAGCCAACCCTCTTAGGCTTTGCTGTATCTGCATTTCAATTTGTGCAATAGAGCTACTTAGTCTCCAATACCTCCCCTCCTAGTGCATTACCCTTATACTGAAAAAAAAAAACTTCTTAAATCCCTCTGGTTTATTTGACATTCTGGTTTCCATTTATAGCTTCTTATTCCACTTCCTTCTGTGAAGTTTATCAAGAGCTTATTGAATTCATTTTTGGTCTCTTTCAGCACCTTTTTGTACTCGCTTTGCTTGCTCTTCGCTCAGAAAGCTCCCACCTTCGTTGCAGATACTATGATTGATTAACAAACTTGTCAACTCTGATTTTAGATTACTAAACAAACTTGTGTGTACTCAGACTATACTTTTTAGCAAATGAGTATACAATCTTCACATTTTTCCCCTACCTGTGGCTTTCCTTTGCATTAGTGGTTTATGACCTCCACAGCTTTGGCACTTTTTTGTAACAATTACAGTGGACCCTTGCCTAACGATATTAATCCGTTCCTGAGACCTCATCGTTAGACAAAATTATCGTTAGCCGAATTAATTTTCCCCATAAGAAATAATGGAAATCAAATTAATCCGTTCCTCACACCCCAAAGTATGAAAAAAAAATTTTTACCACATGAAATATACATTTTGCTACACACAAACAAGAAGACATGCACAATTACTACTGTACTGAATAAAGAATACCTGATGTTTACCTTTATTGAAGATCTGGTGATAATTGAAGGGATGGGAGGAGGGGAGATGGTGGAAGTTGTTAATGTTTGAAAGGGGAATCCACTTCCATGAGGACTTGAGGTAGCAAGTCCTTTTCCAGGATTACTTCTTCTTTTAATGCCACTAGGACCAGCTTGAGTCACTGGACCTCTGTCGCACAACAAATCTGTCCATAGAGCTCTGTACCTCGCATTCCTTTAAGATTTGCCTAAAATGGGCCACAACATTGTCATTGAACAGGTTGCCAACTCGGCTTGCAATAGCTGTTTTAGGGTGATTTTCATCCATAAAGGTTTGTAGTTCAACCCACTTTGCACACATTTCCTTAATCTTTGAAGTAGGCAACTTCTTCAATTTCTCTCTCCCCTTCTCTGAAGCAGTTTCCTCAGGTGTGGCCTCTTGTTGTTGCAGATGCTCTTACAGCTCATCAGTGGTTAGTTCTTCATTGTCCTCCTCCACCAACTCTTCCACATCCTCCCCACTAACCTCCAAAACTAAGGACTTCCCCAATGCCACAGTAGAATCCACAACTGGCATAGGCTTTTCAGGGTTAACCCCAAACCCTTCAAAATCTCTCTTCTACACATTATGGCCACAATTTCCTCCAA